TTCACTTATTTCCGTATTTAACAAGATGAAACAAGCTGATTGATAAAACAGGAATATCAAATTTGCTTAGAAGCCTCTTCACATGAAAAGCAAGAAAGCAGATCTGCCTTGCTTTGGATACGGCCTTTTAGTCATTGTTACGGGTTTCAGCAAAACTGATACGAATACTGTAAAATCAGTATTCCCCATTGTCTTACTAACTTGCCTGCTTTATCTTGCCTTATATCCTTGGTCCTCAAAAATTTGCAGCCTCATTAAACACTACCATGGATATAGAAGAGGTGTGAAGCGTAAGGCAGATGATGCTATAAAAGGAGAGGAGGGGGATTGTTGCTGATGGAGACAGAAGTAGAAGACGGAGAAGGTGATGAATTTTGATGAGGTTTGGAAGGTTGGGAAGCCTCTGAGGAGAGCAAACAAAAGAAGAGGGGCAGTGGATCCTCCAGATTGCTGAGAGATGAACAAAGGCAGGCAGGTGCAGAAGAGCTTGGTGTTTGTATGTGGCGTGGGGGTGAAAGGAAGAAGGATGGACTGCAGAAAGGGTTGGAACTTGAGTGCCTCCGTATATACGTTTTCGGGGAGGAGAGAGTAGGCAGGGGAGGTTACAAGAACAGATTGTTTAGAGAAGCAGTACCGTCTCTGGGCTCTGGAGCCAAACTTTTGAAACTGTAATCCCGGCGTCGCTACTTATTAATTGCATGGCCGGGCAAATTATCCAAATTCTGTCTGTTTCTTTATCTATAAATCAGGGATAATAATGGAAACCTCATTTGGGTTACTGTGCCTGGCTCATAATAAGCTCTATATGAATATTAATTATTATTACCATTACTCTAGAGAAATTACTTGGAGAGTCAGGGAAGGGTCAGATGATGGAATGTTTTGAAAGCTAATAGAATTTAGAGATCACGTGAAAGACGACTTTTTTTAGTCAAGTGAACATGATGCTATTTTTGATGTTAACGAATATTGGCTTTTAACATCAATCAGGTATGCTTCCTAATTAAAATTTTATTCTGATTTTATTTAATTTTCATGTTACTCTGAACTTCTATCTAGATTTAAAAGGATGATGATAAAGAACACCAATCAAGATGCTAAAACCCAGGTCAAAGTCTTTTATTGTTTGATATTATTTGACTCTCTGGAACCAAAGTGGGAATATTATCCAAAGAAAAAAGGCAGCTAATATTAACAAAGTTATAGATGTAAGGGAAAATGATGAGGGGCAATTAAGTGATAGGAAGGTGGGATTGTAGACTGAGGGGTAAGAACAGACTACAGAAAAGTAATCCTGTGTAAGAAAAACCTATTTTATTATTATTTTTAAAATATTTATTTGTTTTGAGAGAGCATGGGCAGGGAAGGGGAGAGAGAGGGGGAAAGAGAATCTCAACCAGGCTCTGTGCTGTCAGGAGCCTGACTCGGGGCTGGATCCCACAAACCTGAGGGACAGCCTGAGCTGAAATCAAGAGTCGGATGCATAAGCTACTGAGCCACCCAGGCACCGCGAGAAAAATTTATTTTAAAATGTAGAGGATGATAGGCATTTCAGAAGAATTTGAATGTTTTAAAAACAGCATCATCATAAATGCAAGTGACTACTCAGAATGAATTTAAATAGTTTGGATAAAAAAAAAAAAAAAAAAAAAAAAAAAAAAAAAAAAAAAAAGGGAAACATACGTACGGGGAAATACACTCAACACTTCATGTAAAAATTGCCTGAGCCTAGTACCCCCTGACCCCTTCCCCATCTCCCCCATACTTGTGAATAACAGACTAAAAATATTATCATACCCTTTTTCTTCCAAGGATATCTTTGTTTTAGAGTCTTACCCTACTTTTTGCTCCAGGCAGGTCAGAGTTGTTATGCTGAATTTCAAGTTGGAGGAGAAGGCCTGCCTCCCGGGGCTGCACGCCCCAGCGCTCCCATCACGGCCACCTTCGGGGTGAAGTCCTAGACTCAGCAAACTAGGGGGATGAACTGTCCCCTGGGAGAAAGGACGGAGGCCAGTCTGAGAGGGCTGGGTCATACCTCAGAGCAGTTGATTCTTCTAAAACTGAAAGCTGTGCCCTAGCCCTAAAATCTGCTCCTACTCCAGTCTAGGCCATCTCCACACACCGCATTTCTACTCATTCTCTGGCTCTGGTAAGAAACCTGACCTTCATGGGTGACGTCTTCGCTCTTATCTTCACTCCCAACTCATTACTAAGTCCTGTCCGTTATGCCACCGAAGTATACCTCAAATCTGTCCACTTCGCTCCATCTCTATGTGCACGGCCATCACTCAGACACTGCTGATCTAATGTTTGTGCAAGTTAGAAAAAGGAGTCCCTTCCCAAGAGCAGATGCTGGGGCTGGACTGGACTCTACTCATCTTTGCACAGGGCAAGATCTCTAAAACACCGCCCGTCGGTCCTGGGCCCCAGCCCACCGCGTGCTGCTCTTCTGCCCACATCCACTCTTGTCCGTTTCCAACCCACTCTCCACACAACAGAGGGACTACTTTTAAGTCCCAATTTGATCATTTCACTCCCTAGTTAACCTTATACTAGGTTTCTACTGCTATCAGAAAAAAGTCCCGAACCCTTAACATGGCCTGCAAGGCTCTGTATGTGGTCTGGGACCCAGCTCCCTCTTTATCCTTACTGGCACCATCTCACCGTGATAACTTTCAGCCACACGACCTTGTTTTGGTTCCTGAAACCTGCCAAGCTTCCCCCTTACTCCAAACGACTGCCTGACTTAGCCTGGCTAATTTCTACTCTTCGTTCAGGTCTCAATTTAAATGTTACTTCTTTATGAAAGCCATCCCTGAATCCAAAATCTGAAGATCTCCTCACTGCACTCTATTCTTTAATCATACTTAAACACATTTTACAATTATGTAGTCACTAGTGACTTACTTGTTTAGTATCCTTTTCCCTACTACATATGCTAAGCTCCACGGGGAAGGATCATGCCTGACTTAGTCCAATATCTTTCATTCACCTAAGTTTCTATTCAAGTTCATTCTAAAGACCTTCTCTATGCCACTGACTCTACTAGATCTGAGGGGTAGAGAAGTAAATAGACAGATGAAGTGCTTGCTCTTCTGAGGGAAACAAAACGAATCAAGAAGCAAGTAAGCAGACAAGATGATTACAGATTGTGATACGTGGTATGCAGTAGACTCTGGGCACTTAAGCTCAGAGATCTGTCTATATGGACGCCAAATGTTTTTTTTTTTTAATTAATTAATTTATTTCTAGGAGAGAGAGAGAGAGAGAGACAGCGTGAGCAGGGGAGGGTCAGAGAGAGAGGGAGACACAGACTCTGAAACAGGCTCCAGGCTCCGAGCTGGCAGTCGGCACAGAGCCCGACGCGGGGCTCGAACCCACGAACCGCGAGATCATGACCCGAGCGAAAGTCGGACGCTTAACCGACTAAGCCACCCAGGCGCCCCGGACGCCAAATGTTTTGTTTAGGAGAGAGCTAGATGCTAAACATAACTGAAGAATTTACTTTGCTCATGTAAAGTCCAAAACAAATATTCCCGATGGGTGGATGGCTCTCCTCCAAATGGTAACTCAGGGACTCAGGCTCCTTCTAATTTGTGGCTCTGCCATCTTCAGCACGGGGCCACAGAAGGAGAAACAGCATGGAAGACTGATTATGGAATTATTTTTTAAAATTAGGTAAATCTGGATGGTTACACCTAATTGCAAGGGAGGCTGGGGAACACACTGTATCTCTGCACTGAGGAAGAAGAGTAAAAAGATTCGGTGATTAGCACTTTCAGCAGTGCCTGGCACAAACATGGGCATGAAGAAACAAAGATAAATTAGAAATGGGGCTTGTTCTAAAAAAAATTTATAATCTCTGAGTGTGCATAAAAATCACTATTATGTCTGATCTAGTATATTAAATCTCCAATCCCTCAGGAATGTACAAATAGTTTTTGAAATTAATGAATTCGTGTCTCTGTTTCTCAGTTTTAAAAAGTAATCTACTTGTCCAGTTTGAGGGGAACCTTCGAGGTTTCTGCTGCTGTTTCTCAGGGTGTTTAGCCCGTCCCAAATCTTGCCACTTCACAGCCTCTCCGTTTGTGGGTGCGGTTGGTTGCATTAGGACAAGCCCCAATCCAGGCAACAGAACAGATCAGAAGCGAGAGATCCGCCTAACGGTTTGAGACCCAGGAGCTTTGAACTTGTAGACGTGCACCTAAATCACTGCATAAATTCTCCGCATACATTTTATGGTTTTCTTCATAACTGCATGCTCTGAATTAAACACTGTAAAATTTTTAATCATTCTTTGGTACCAAAGCAGACACAGGGTCCCATGTTTGTGCTAAGCTGTACTTAAAGCTTTTCTATCCTTAAACTAGTTTTCGTGTCCCGGACGCATCTTCGTGTGAAAAGCACAGAAACACGGAGCTTGAGGGGCTCGCAATCAGAAGCGTTTACCTGTTGGCTTATCTTCAGACTTCCTTCAGAAGAGACCTGAAATCTAGAGTTTACGGACTAGTCCTACAGAGATTTAAAAAACAAAACGTGGAACATGCCTGGGTCCACGTCCAGGGGGATTTAGTCAACTTGCTGGGAGAGGCTCCCGGAGGGGCCGGGCGCGGTCCCGGAGCCGTTCACGCGTCCGCTAAGAACGCGGCGAGCGCGGCAGGCGGACCGCTGCGGCCGACGAGGGGCGACGCGGGCGTCTCCACCGTCCCTGGGGTGGAAGGGACTGCGCGCTCTCACGGGATCTGCGGGAAACCGACGGAGCGGAAGCAGCGCGGCCGGGGGTCCTCGTCGCCGGGTGGGTCCCGCCGCCCGCCGCCGAGCGGCCCGAGCGGCCCAGCGCCGCGGGACGCCCGCCACGCCCCACGCCGCCCTGAGGCGAACGCGGGAGGCGACGAGGCCCCGCCGGGCCACCGTAGCGCCGCGGCTCGGGCCGCTCCTCCCGCGCCGCCCTCCGCCCCCAGCCTCCCCGCGCCGCGGCAGCTCTGGGCCGGCAGCGCCGCCGCCGCCGCCGCTTCCTCCCCTGCAGCCGTTCGGCCGCTGCGTGACGCGTCGTTTCCTCCCAACATGGCGGCCGGGGCAGGTCGGCGGTGATGGAGGCCCGTCCACGGCCGCGGCGGGTGCTAGTCCCCACGGTAGCCAGGGCAGCCGTGCTCTCCTCGGGCTTCTGAGCCGCCGCCGCCTCGCCGCTCGGCTCCCGGCAGACGGCCGCCCAGGCTGTGCTCCCCCGCCGTCCCTGGGCCGGAGGGGCGAGTGCGGGGGGTGGCCGGGAAGCGACCCCTCCAGGGCCGGGAGAGCGGAGGTCAGCCGGGCGCGGCCCTCCAGGGGCGGCCTCCCCAGCGGCGGGGAAGGCCGCCGGCCCCGCGGCCGCTGCCGCCGGCTCGCCCCTCCGGATCCTGCCGCTGCCCTCCGCGCCTCCTCCCCTCCGCTTCCTCCCCGCCTCCCCCTCCAGCCGCCGGGAGCCGCGGGTCGGACGGGCCGCCGCCGCCGCCTCTGCGTCCATGTATGAGGGGAAGAAGACGAAGAACATGTTCCTGACCCGGGCCCTGGAGAAGATCTTGGCCGACAAGGAAGTGAAGAAGGCGCATCACTCCCAGCTGCGCAAAGCGTGCGAGGTGGCGTTAGGTGAGCGGGGAGGAGGCCGGGGGGGGGGGGGGGGGGGGTCGTCCGGGGTCCCCAGCCGGCGCCGCCGACCGCGGGGAGCCCTCGCGACGCTGTCGGGCCCCTGGCTGGAGCTGACACGGGGTCGCGGGGTGCGGGGCGGGGGCAGGGCGGCGGAGGGAGGGCGGTAGCCGGGCGCGGGGGACGCGGCGGCGCCGGAGTCGGCCCGAGTCCGGGAAGACTCGTCGGCGGAGCGCGCGGTGCGGACGGGGTCGCCCCCTTTGTGAGGGCGGGAGACGGGCTGCTGGTTATTAGCCCGGAGGTCGAGGCGGAGCGGACTTGTCGAGACTGGGCGTGGGAAGGCTTCCGTAGCGGAATTCCGATAACTTTGTCGTGCGGGGTGACACTTCGGGGAGAAAGGCCGAAGTTGTTCCCTCGTCGACGGTGTCGAGCGGGGGTGTCCGCGGGGCGCGGCCCCCCCCGCCGCCGCCGCCGCCGCCGCCGCCGCGGGAGAAACGGCGGTGGGGTGTGCGACTGGGCTGACCTGCGAGAACCGGACCCGGGGTTAAGGGGCGGGGGTGGCGGTAGAAAGGCGAGTAAGTGAAGGACCTTCACATATTCTGGCGTTATGACAAGAAAGGGAGGTTTTGAAATGGGGAGAATGAAAAAGACAATGACACCCACCAGCCACGTGTCTGGCCAGTGGCAGCCGCCCTCCAGCCTGCGTTCTGATTGATGGTTCGACGGAGGGGCTTCAGGGGGGCGGGGCCCAGGGCGGGGGAGTCCCAGACGGAGGGGCTTCAGGGGGGCGGGGCCCAGGGCGGGGGAGTCCCAGGCGGAGGGGCTTCAGGGGGGCGGGGCCCAGGGCGGGGGAGTCCCAGGCGGAGGGGCTTCAGGGGGGCGGGGCCCAGGGCGGGGGAGTCCCAGACAATACGGGCAGGACTGGCCGGACGTGGAGGTGTTCCGGGGGAGCTGGTCTGTGGGCTCCGTCAGAGATGACATCGTTTAAGGAGAGGCCAGGACATTTAACACAAAGATGAATTCCTGATGCTTACGCTTCTATTTTATAACGCTGGAAACAGACTATCTGAATTGACCAGAAAATGAAAACTTGTTAAACCGGCTTTGGAAAAAAAAGTTCCTGAAGGGGGAGAAATCCCGAATAACTTAAATATGTGATAAAGTAAAGGGTGAAAACAGCAGGGGCCTTTTAATTATTAAAATACACTGCTTTCTAGCTTGCTACAATAAGCTATATTGTTTTCCCTTCTGTTTTAGATATTTTAAGGTGGCGATGTGAAAAACATTACCAAAGAAATTTCATTAATTTTTTTTTTTTTAATCTGTGGTATGGTAGGTTTAAGTTTAGTTTTCTGGCCCTTCGTGGATCAGGAGTTCATCTTTTGTTATACTTATAGCTAATGAAAGACTGTTCTAGGCGTAGGAGAACGTTGTATATAGGGTAGGACATCTCGGTCCTCAGAGGAGTAATTATTAAACTGGGGTGGGATGAGGGAATAAATGATTTTTAGAGTTTTTAAAGGAATTACATGTTTATAAATAACTTGCAGGTGAAAGAACTTTAGAGATTCAAATTAAAGGTTTAGTTTGAGACCAGATTTTCCATGTTAAATGTATTTTTAATATACTAAATTATAAGTATTAGACTGAAGAAATGGAGTGTGTTTTGTATACACATTTTTCCTCTCCAAAATGCCTATATAAGTGAGAATATTTTTTACTTAAGTTGATTTATTTATTTTGAGAGAGAGAGGGAGGGAGGGAGAACCCTAGGCTGGCTCTTCACTGCCAGTGTGGAGCCTGATGTGGGTTTGAACTTGTGAATTGTGGGATTATGACCTGAGCTGAAACCAGTAGCCAGACATTTAAGCAGCTGAGCCAGCCATGCGCCCCTAAGTTAGTGTGTTTTAATGGAGAGTTCAGTGGAAGGAGAATCCGGGATCCTGGGTTAAATTGCAATTCTGTTACATTGCAGTATAGTCAAGTCCTTGAGCCTTGGTTTCCTTCCTTCTAAAATTGGGATATGGAACTTTATGATTATAAAGTTACATCCCCGCTAATGAGCCATGAACGTGAACACACTGTTTTCTTAACTTGTGCATTGAGTATTTTTGCCCCTCTTGATTGGCAGCTTTAGAGGGCTTATAGCTTGGTCCTTGCCATATCTAGGTATTATAGGAGCTACTTGGTAGTGAGTGTGCCAGCTATAGTAGGAATTCTGTTGCAGATTTGGCCAGGTTTTTACTTTTTGTCTGCCTCCTCCATATAGTTAGCAGAAGCTTTATTATGAGGAATGTGACTACCCAGGCAGGGGCTAGGCAACACAATACTTAAGACATAGAAGGTTTTTTCTCACATTTTCTAAGAGTTACATTTAGTCTCCTGAAAAGTATCATTGAACAATCTGGAGGTGGTTAATCCCTGAGGAACTTTCTTTCTTTCCTTTCAGTCATACATTTACATTATTGCCAAACATAAATGGGTAGGGATAACTTACTTTATTTTTACAGAAAGTGTAATGTCTTGCAGCAAGATGGTATCTTCAAATATCTGTTGTTCCTGGAAACTATTATAAGTCTCCCCTTGGTTCTTCATTGTTGAGAATTCATGCCCACTTTGGTCACTTGATAAACTGTGTGGCCGTCAAGCAGGATGGGAGTGTACACTGGAAAGGACTGGTTTGGTCATCTCTGATCTAGATTAGGTTGTGAATGGTGGGAGTTGGATGATGGAAGTATAAGAAGTGAGTGTTATAATCCTTCTAAATATACTCTCTATATAACTCTTCTAAATACACCTGCCTGCATTCTATCTCTTCCCCACCCCCAAATGTTTACTGGGCACCTATTGAATAGTTGAAGGGAGATGGGCAATAAACAGGAAAATATATATTATGTCAGGCTTTTAATCCTTTTGTGTTTTAAAATCATTTTATTGGCATGTGAGGAGATTTCAGAGCACTGGTATTCAAAATTTAGTTACCTTTTAATATAGTGACCAGTTATAAATGGGAATTCTGTAAATAATACTGATGAAATTGTATTTCAGCACAATTCTTAAGAAAACTGTATATTTTTTCATTAAAGTTTTTAGGATACCTTCTCTAGACTAGGAGAGATTTTACTTTATTAAAACAAAATCCATTGCAAAGATACTACATAAAGAAAATGTTATTTTCACAACAAGAAAAATAATGAAAACTTTAAAGGGTATGCAGATTAATTTAAAATTTTTAACAAATTATCTTACATTTCAGACTTTATTTTGAAGTAAAGAATGGTAAAAACAACAACAAAAGCCCAGAAAAACAACAACAACAAAAAACCCCACACATCTACATTGTTAAAATCAGCGCGAAGCCCCAACGCCCAAGAACAGCTCCAGGTTGCCCTCTCTTGGTACCTGCCCCACTACAGCGCTGCAGCTAAGACTAAAACCCTGCAGAGGGCTTCTAGGCTGCCCTAGCTTAGCTTGATCCATTCCTGCTCTCTAGAATCCAGAATTAAAAATAGTCTGGCCATCTGCTGGCAGATGAGACAACAGCTAGCTATTTTTAGTTTCAAAGAATTTAGGATTGTTGGAGGATTAGACTTGAAGGTAGCATTGTTTGTCTCACGGGGAGGGTGCCTTTGTGTCATATTCCAATCAGGCCTCTAAGTTTCAGGAGTTCATTGATGTTTGGTCTACGACTAGTTCAGCTTCTGCTTCCGATATCAGATATCTGTGAAGGTATTCTGCAGATGTTAGGATGAACTAGTTCAGGGTTGGAAGTTGGCGCCGATACAGAATAGGACTGAAAAGGATGACCAGAAGGAGGTTTAGAGGCGGGGGGGGGGGGGGGGCTTGCGGGGCCAGTCATAAGGGTGGGATCCCTTGCGATACGGGGGAATGGTGGAGAAAAAGAGGACTTAGGAGGGAAGTGATTTTTGCATCAGGATGTGAATTTGTGTTGTTTAGCATATGCTAAAGTGATCCTACTGATTTAGTTTTTTTTAAGAGTCTGTTACCTACCATTATAGTTACTCCCAGAAATGTAAGTAAAATATTTAAGGTAAAAATGTACAGAACTTGATTCTGTACCTCCAACCCCACCCTTGTTTCGGTTAGTGGTGTTATAAAAAGGGATATATGGATGGAGGGGAGATTACTTGAGTGCTGTTGACCCCAATTTTATGCATTGGGTAATATCAATTTTTGTTACTCTTCATCATTTATGAAAAAAAATAATGACTTACTCCCAAATGACGTCCTGCAGTGAACATTTTAGTTATAATTTAAATCCATTAGCAAGTCTCCTTTTAAACCTTTCTTGTAATCTAAAGTAAAAAATGTTTTTGGTAAGTCAGGCTACCAGGATTTTTGAGATAGCTGGGAAAAAAGAGTAATGAATGAAATGATTGATGAAAGATTCTGTTAAGTTTGAGTTGAAAAAAGTTAAGTTTGTATTTCAGTGTATATACTCTTTCCATTGTGGAGATTTACAGCCTACATTAACATAGTTAAGATTCCGAAAAGTCCTCTAGGAAGGGTACCTACTCTAATTTGCTTATTGAAGTTTTTCCTAAATTTATTTGAACCTTTTCAGTGTCTCTTAACACCCGTGTGAAACATTGTTCCTTGGGGTTTACTTTGGGACACTATTCAAGGGAAACAAAGGCCTTAATTACTGAGAAGGTAGAGATACGATAGGGTAGAGACAATAGCCCTAACTACTGATGAGACATTCTTTGTGTTTTGGGAAAGCAGGTCTACTGGTGGTGTAGGAAGAGGAAAGGAGCAGCTATCAGATCAAAAGACTGGGAAATGGGAACTAGCCCCGTTTCCCATCCCATCTGATGGCAAGTAACTGGTTGTCTTCCTGATAATACTTAACTTGTAGAGAAACTTCAGTGGGTAATTGTTTCTTTTTTTCAAAGCAGAATAAAAATTTATTGTGAATGGGAAATAACTTGGGGGAAATATTTGTCGTAATATTCCTCACAACATGGAGGTGGGGATATTTG